TATATTTCGATAAACACTATAAACTGTACGGTCTAAATTTAGTTTGCATGGTCTAAATTTAGTTTGCACGAAAGTTGTAAACAACACCATATAAGGATAGACATTCCATATTTGGAAAAACGAACGTTACGGGGCAGATATTCAAATTGATTAGTCATCGATGCAGGCTCTCAATTCAGCTTGAGAGCCTGTTCGCAGGCTATGTTAAAACAAATCAGAAAACTCCTGCTGTATATTCTATACCATGCGGGGGCTGCAAGAAAGAGTGTTTTGGTCAGTCTAAACGCCAGTTTGGTACACAGCTAGAAGAACATCAGCTGTTTCAACTTTAGACAAGGGAAAATCAGCTTTAGCCGAACATGTATGTTACACCAAACACGAGATTGCATGGGAAAACTCTAAAGTAATTACCACAAACAATCGCTATGGTCAAAGACTTTGCCTAGAAGCGTGGCATATAAATATGAGTAATCATGCTTTGAGTAGGGATGACGGTGCCTATTTGCCAGAGGAATATATGCATCTCATTGGCAGGTGACGTCATCCCTTGGGTATTTAAGAAGCCACGATTGCAATTTTAGATCACCCCTGATGAAGACACTAGACTGGAGTGTTGAAACGTTGGGTCTTGATTACCATTCGACTGGGCTTTGTAATCATTTATGTAAACCAGAGTAGCGAGCATCATAGCACAGCTTTGTGGGATAGGAGCGCGAGACATCAACTTGGGCTCCACGATGCCATTGGCTATGTTCCATCCCATTTGCTCTATAGGTGGTAGAGCTGGATTTGCTAAGTGCGCCTGGCCCCAATCCAGGGCTTGGTAATGTGCTCTTCTGATGTGAAATTCATATCAAGAAGTGCAGGCTGCTCCAAGAAAGTTTTCCATGCCGTTTTCTTGCTGTGGCCAGCAAAGAATGAGACAGTGTCGCAGCCTGTCACTGCATGAAAAGAGAGGATGGTCTCGATGTTTGGAACCACTGGCTTCATTGATTCACGTACAGTGTGTACAGGAATGTACTTGGGCTTCTTGCTGGTTCCTGCTCTCATCCATAATTGCTTGCATCTCATCAAAATGCGCAGTTAAGAGCACTAACATACGTCTGTGTCGTTACTGCACACTACAACTAATTTTGCACTTGAATTCACACAGTGGAGGATCATACGCATATCCGCTTCTTCATGCCTCCCATGAAGCGGAGTGGTGTCTACATTGACCGGGGAACACTTGGCAACATTCATTTCTACTTCTCGGAGAGTCGCAAACGTAGGCGCTTTATTTTTGGGCAAGGGATCCCTGAGCTTCTTTTCAGTTCCATTGATTTGAAGCACAAGCCTCTCTTTGACAAATGTGAGCAACTTCTCCTTGCCAAGGCCAGGTGCATTGAGCAGAAACTCTTGTATCTCAGCTGTTGCAACATCTTTTGTAACTATATTTTGCAGCTTATCAAGGACTGCTTCCTGTTGCCTGATATCGAAGACCTTTCAACTCTTTTACTTTCTTATCTTCCCCATCTCTTCGCTTTTGTGATGGATTAGACTTGTTATACGTCATATGATCATCGTTGTCAAGATGGTACATTTTCCTTGTTTTTGTCACAATCAGAGCACAAAGACTGTACGAGGGGGTCCATCTAAATAGTGCTGATGGTGTCCTTGTTATGCCCACAATCCCCCCGTCTTGCTTGCCAGTGCCGTTTAGCCATTCTTGAGCTTGATCTGGATCTACTTGGTTAAACCTTCATGATGACCCCTTAACTACTACCCAGTTACCACACTCAAATTCTGCTTGTACTTCAGCTGGCAACTGCTGCATCTGCACAAGGTAAACAGGACCCCATCTTGCATAGTTGGTATGGTCATACCGATGGAAGAATGGTAGCGTTTCTTGAAAAGCGTACAGATGTAAGTCTCACTTTCCCTCTCTCAGAGCTCTGGTAAAACGATCACAGCTTGATACAAACCATCTTGGTATACTGCCACCAAAATTGGAAACTAGGGTTGCTTTCTTTTTTAGCGGCAACGAAGGACAACAAAAGAGCACTATAGCAATCAGATGACAACAAGTTGCTCATTCTCTCAAAATCCACAGGTGTATGAGATTGCGCAAACTTATGGAGACTTTCTTTCAGATCCTTGTCACGTTCTCTGATGTAGGCCAGTAATTGCGGCAAAAGAATTTGACACATCGCTTGAAGAGTAACTTTGTGAGCTCTAACACCCTTGCTATATTCTTTCCCATCCAGTACGTGTTCGACAGTTCGAGGACCCAAAAGTATGCTCTCTACCCAGATTTCTGATAGTCCAGAGTCTTGCACATGCTGACCTAGAAATTTAAGAAAGTTCATTGAAATATGAAGACCTCCTAGCCGTGGAATAAGAGTGTCCCGATATTCTGGAACAGCCCATTTCAGTTCCATAAGTTGCGGAAACAAAGCTTGATCAACCGTTAGCACAATGTATCTCTGGCCAAACAACTTGGCAACTTGAGTCATTATTCTAACAACGGTATTTAAAGTGTTTACATCATGAGCCAGAGCCAAAATAATTGGCATGTATCCAACTGTGCTTACCTCCAGGTCTGTTTCAGAGTGTTCCTCATTGAACATTGTCCACCCAGGTTTTGGATCATGATATTGTCTGATCATATGAAATGCCTTGTCTGCTGCTTTTGCTTTTACCACTGCAGAACAATCATTAGCCTCCTGTTCATACCATTCTTCTTGAACAGGGTCCTTAAACTCCGGCTCGGCGCTTCCTTCCAGAATGTAAGCAGGCAAGATGATGTTCATCTCCTCAGGAACATTAAGAGTGGTTTCCGTAGTGGGATAGATATTCTCAAGAAGATCAACCGACTCCGGGCCTCTTTGTCAGGCTGCGTACTGGGTTGCATGGAACATATTTTGGCCATCAAGCGTTCCCTCATTTATGTCAATGTTGTCAGCAGAAAAATGAATAAAGCGTTCCTCAGCAAGGTTGGTTGGGATGACAGATCCAGAGTCAGTGTCCATTGACGATAGAGTGTGCGTGGCGAGGGCAGTATCGACTCTGACAATATCCTTGTAGCTAATAATATGGCCTGCATTATGAAACAACTCCACCAGTTTCCTAGACCGCATCGCCTGATGTAAGCTTGCAATATTTTAATTTTGGAATAGGTAATAGGACCTCTACATGGGTCTTGGACCTGTTTGCTTGTAATCATTGTTTATCTAATTGATTTCTTTTATATTAAACAGGGTCTTGAAAGTAGACCATGCCGCAAAATATTGTATAAAAGGTGCACGCATATTATGCGTGCGTTGTTCTGTGTCGTTTTATGTAAATCCATTGTAGAAATGTTGTAATTGAAGTTAGCATGTACTGTATGTAAAGTTATTACTTGGTAATTGATAGATGTAATTTGATGATGCACATGAATTTATCACAGTGTCGGATTTGACCATACTGCGATATTACAAATTTAGAATTGGTGACAAGACTTGTGATTTTGTGTTGTGTAATTTTCCTGTCTCATTTGAATAAATGGTTTTCTTAAATTTATCTTATCAGGGTCTGAAAAGTAGACCATGCATTGAGAAATTGTAAACTTAATCCTTGTTTTATACTGTGTACTGTTTCTATAATCTGTCCATCACATGTAGTTAATTCTGTGTGAGGATTCTAGGTTTATTCCTTAGTATTTAAGTATATACATGCAGTTAGATTATGTACATACTCACAGGGTTTTGAAAGCAAACCATGCTGTGAAATATGTAATGAAGCCTATGGTTTGTGTGATATATCTAACTATTAATAGGTAGAATAGGTAGATGTTGTACAATCTACCAATATTGCGGCTTATAGAATCGGGCAGAACATTTAGTTATGCCAGAAGGGTAAATCTAATTAGATGCCCTAGACTAATAATCCCATATGTTTTACAAAACACAAAAAACGTGGTGCCCAGGGTCTGGCAAAACGTTTTTTGACTGCACAGTATGGCAGTCATTACGTAGTATATACCATATGGATTAATTCTTTTAAATAATATATATAATAAGAATTGATTCTCCAAAGCAGTTCGAAGCAGTCAGAGCCAGTTTCGCATTTCAAAGTGTTATGATATTGGGTCAATATCATTAGAAATGACTGTAAAGAAAGGCGAACATGGGTCGAACGGCATGTAAAATGGCTTTGGACAAACCATCCCATTGGTTAAAAAAATAAATAAAAAATAACATCAGGCAGATAGATGGATGGTATTGGAGAGATGTTGTGATTTTTAATGAAACATTGAATAATGACGTGACTGTGTATTGGGGCTATAGCAAACCTCACAGAGTCTTGGGTTGACCGTGCTTGTGAAGTATGTTAGCGGATGGTATATAATCATATGGAAGATACAGTATATATAGTTGTGTTAATTGTGCTTTTTCATTTGTTTGGCCCTCGACACGTTTAGGTCTCATGACCTTCATCAGGAGGGCTTTTAGGGATGCGAGTTGATGTTTTGTTGGTTGTTGACGAGAGGAATGGTAATGAAGGTGGTGTTGTTCAAAATGATTTGGGACATGGCATAAGTGGAGTGGTGGAGAAGTAGTGAATAGTCAACATAATAGGAAATGATAAAACAATGAAAAGATTTATGAAAAGCAAGAGAATAAAGAAAAAAGAGGGGAAAAGTAATAACAATCATAATAATGTAACAACTTTAATCTAACAAACTTACTGAATGATTTGCTCGGCGGTAATCCACATCTGCCAGCCATATTTTTGTTTTAAATTTGACTAGGTAGCCCTTCTTATGTGTGTTTGCTTTTTGCTTATGCAAGAATGAGTGTTGGGGCCCTGAAGGCCGGTTTTTAATCAGTTGTTCTGATTAGATGACGTCATGCAGTTTGATAGCGTGCATGTTTTGTGGGGTGTTAATTATGTGTCAGTTTGTGTGTATAATTAGAGTGTGATGTGCTGCAGGCTATCTGATAACTAAGGAATGTTTAAAATTTTCCCATTAGAAGTGTGAGTGCAATGTTGAGTTGTATGTTGAGTTATGTGATATGCGTGGGCGTGATTGCCTGTCCACCCCCAAGGCTTACTGTTGAAAAAGGGGAATATTTCCAAATTCACTGTGGCTAGGCACATGCATCGGGAGGGAAAAAAGAAACTAAATAACTAAATAGATAAATAAAAATAAAATAAAATTATATATATATATGTATGTATGTATGTATGTATGTATGTATGTATGTATGTATGTATGTATGTATATGTATGTTTTATGTATCCCTGCAATATCATGAACCCATTTAAGGGCACAATAACTAGATTGAATAACTGAGGATGATTTGTAAGTGGAGGATAAATGCGATATGAACAGCGAAACATCTATAACTGATGCCGGAAAAACATTGAAACTTTTAACTCTAGCGAATTCTATCCATCTACGTAAACTATTTGTATAGTTTGTGACAGTTCCCTCTGCTTTAGCATGAAGAGCTGTTTTCTTAAGTAACTCAAACAGGTGTGTTTCTCCACTGGATAACGTGTTTTGCTGTAATTCTTTCCAAAACCCCTGGTCAAACAAGTTTAAGCCTGTGAAAACAAAGAAAGCATATAGGTATACTAAAATAGCATAAATTGGGACTCGCGAGAACAGGCCCGACCCATTCCTGCACAAAGATATTGCCAACGCTTAACGAAAACCAGATGTCAAGAACGGGGGACTGAGCCATTACCAAATTCACTTTCTTTCTGGGACTATCCACCGGTGGGAATCCCCTGAAATTATTCTGTAATCCCGAGATTACTACCACCTGTGAGAAAATAGTCACCTGTGGACTGTAAAAACTTAAGGCTTGATATGACAACCACCTGTGGAAGAAACCATCCCCAGAAGTCTATGCTGAGCTATATGCATTCTGTACACATACCGGAAGGAGTCATACAGAAACCTATGTTTGATGTCCTTTTCTTGCATGTTTGCCAATCAATATAGAGTGCAATTAATTTAAAGGGCAGTACATCGCCATTGAAAACGGTGTTATGGGATCTGCCAGGTACTGTGGCTGGGTGGTTCCACTCTGGGATGCCGGCCCAAGTTGTCACACACTGAGCTAAATGAGTGCCGTCTGGGCATATGCTTGGCCAGAAAGTTGACCCTCTCCATAGAGGTACTATTAAAACTCCCTGTGCTCTGCAAATTTGGAAATGTTTCCATGCCTTGATAATCTGATTAGGTGGGGGAACTACCCAGTTGTTTTCCCCTGCCCAACTTATCGTATAAGTATCGACCCCTTCACAGTTCGGGTTCCAGAAACGCGAGTTAAATCGAGCACACTTGGTGTTATAACAGGTAGCAAACCTGTCTACCGTGAATGACCCCCACATGGAATCGATCCAATTAAAAATATGTGGGTGGATGCCCCAATCGTTACCATCAGACAGTTTGCTGAGATAATCTGCTAATTGGTTTTCCTCCCTTGGGACCCAAATTGGGCTGATCTGAATACCAAATCCACTACTTGACTCTATCACTGCTTCCACTAAACTCTGCAATTCTTGTTTTCTACTGCCCCTAGCTAAAATGTATATGATATTTTGATTGTCAGTGTACCATTGAACCAGGTGATTACATAAGTTCTTTCCTATTGCTATAAACAGCATGTTATGTACTGCCTTAGGTTCCCGCCAAGTGGAACTCATCCCTCTCTCGCTTTCCAACCAGTGTCCCTGACAGACCAGTGTCTGATGGTTGGAAATCGCATAGCCCCCATACCCTTGGTCTGAGGCATCTGAGTACACGATGGTGTCAAAAAGCTGTGGTTCTCTGAACATGTCCCTACCGTTAAGGGTGCGGACATTGCTTACCCAATACTGTAATTCTGTTGTGAGTTTAGAATTGAATGACAAAATGGATCCCCAATGTTCCCTAGTCTCTATAGCGAAATACATATGGCGTGTATATAGATAAACTTTTGGGCCTATCGCCCGGGACATGGACACTATTTGCCCTGCTACTGCCGCCAGTTGTCTCGCCATTACTTTTTTGGGGCACCCTAAGATGTTATCTAGCGATTGTTCCAATTTCTGTAACCGTGTTTCGGTAACAAACAACTGATTAAGAGACATATTAAAAATGTGGCCAAGCCATGTTTGTATCGGCATTGGTTCCCAAAAACACTTACTCTCGCTGAGGAGGAACCCTAACTGAATCAGATCTCTCTTGACTGCCTGTGAGACTATGGTGGCACTCTGTAGTGATGAACTACCCCCTAAGCCATCATCCAGAAACATGCAGACTCTTTTACCTGAGGACCTCCAATGTCGAAGTACTGGTTTTAAAATTTTAGTAAACACCAGAGGTGCAGTAGAAAGCCCAAAGGGCAGAACCCGAAAAATAAAATATTGGGGCTTGCCGTTATAAACCCACTGAAAACCTAAATATGTTTGATGATCTTTAAAAACTTCTACATGATGGTATGCACTCTTGATATCAAATGTGAACAAGAAATCACCAGGATTCAGTAAGAGTACTGCTGTGTCAACATCCTCGCATTTAAATTTTAGTTTGTGTAAGTGAGGGTTGACGTGTCTGAGATCTAAGACTAAACGTTTCTTACCCCTAGCGTTTGTGGCCACTGACAAAGGGTTGACCACTAGAGGGGGGAGATCCACCATAGCTATGCTCTGACAAGCTAATAAGTCAGTGATAGCTTCAGTTACGAAAGACTCGTTTTCCAAAGCAGTTTTGTTGTTCCGAAGGATCTGGGGTTCTGGTATTGTAGTCAAAGGAAGGATGTACCCTTGCCGGAGAATTTTGAGTACATACTCAGGAGGTTGTAGAGCCTCCCAAGAGGAAATGTGTTCCCTTAGTCTGCCCCCCACATGGCCCTGATTGGGATCACCTTGGGAAAATTCCCCTTCCTCAAGCAGGGTATCATTGTCCTGTGCAAAACGCTCTAACTCACTATCCTCGCCCAACACATTGGGAAAGGAACCTACATCTTCGTCTAGCCCCTCATAATCTGACGAAATTACACTTAACTTTCGTACGGCGCCTCCACTCTGCTGTACTTCAGTCGACAACCCGGTGGTTAGAGGACATTCACGGCTCCAATGGCCAGCTTTACCACACGAGAAACAGACCCCTGGTTTCTTTCCAACTGTACTACTGTAGAGATGGTTGTTGGGATAAGTCGATGGTGCTGGCTGTTGATGTGGCCCTAAATACGGGGAAACCCAGGTTCGTCCGCCATTGAAAGATCCTCGTCGCGACCAGGAAAATCCACCGCGACTGCTGGCGCGAGTTTTCTTTGCGTTTCTTGTCTCGTTAAGCTTTCTTTGGGCCTCTTTTTCGGCTTTCTTGGTCTTTTTGGCGTCCTCCTCGTCGTCGGCAAGCTCGTTATCGAGATATTCTGATACGGTTTTCCACCCATACTCGGATTTGTCTGCAAGAAGAATTAGCTTTTGTCTCGACTCGATTTGCTCCTTACCTTCACTCAGCTTTTCGAGACACGTGTCTAACTTCTTGTCTTTGATTGCGTCCTCTGCCTCGGTGATACAAAGTTTTACTCGCTCGTTATGTTTGTACTGCACTTCATGACCTTTCTTCTTGAAAGACGGCGGCTCCGAGAACTTCATTCGCTTGAGTTCTGTCATTTGCGAGGAATGTGCTTTGTTGGCCACTTCTTCCAGCTCACGCTTCATCTGGCCCACTTTCGTATCCATGACGGCCGACAGCTTTTCCAGCATAGACTCCTGTTGTTTCTGGAGTTCTGTTCTCAATTCTTCGTTCATTGTGCCCGTTTTGATTTGTTGATGGTTTATAATAAATGTAAAAATACTGAAAGTACTGTTTGTAAAAAAATTTGTGTGTTGATGCAGTGCCAGACTAGAATGAGCTGCCCAAATCATGTGACCACTTTGGTGCCCTGCCAATGAACATGGTAGTCACATGTTTGATGAACCGTGGAAACATCAATTTTCTGCTAATCTGCGAACCGCAGAAAATAACATGTTGTCCCTCCAAACATCAACTAGACCCAGTCCCTCTGTTCGATTGGGAAATGGCTAATTAATAAATTTTTCATCATTCGATGGTAAATCGATGATAGATATCTCGTACAACCTTCTGTCCATTGCCAAGAAATTTCTCCAAGTTTTCAAGTTGTTTTTCCACGATTTGCTCGTTGTGATAATAGTCCATTAAATAATTATACAAAAAGTGCACCAAAAATGACTGCATAGTCGAACTTCTTAAACGAAGGAAATTTTTCCGATGATTTTTGCTTTCTTGATAAGTTGTTTTAATTGACCTTTCTTGCTCACACAATTTAATGTCATGATAAGCACATAGTGGTGACTTGTGGGGATCCGTACTTGCATGAAAGCGATCACCAACAATATACCTTCGTCTCCCACTGATGGGGTGGTCAAGATCTGGAACACTTTCGGGATTAACCAAGGCAACATTTGCTGGCCTATATTCTGTGGGCACAATTTCTGGAACATTCACCTAAATATTTAACAGGGAGACGATATTCATTTTGGTTACAAATGATTTGAAATAAAGTTAAATGATTATATTACTGTCAGTTTTGTTGCATATATGTACATGCACATTACAATTATCATACTCACAACGTTTGGCTTTCTGTCAAACTGAGGTTTCTCAAAACAACCAGCATTATCGTCCCATAAGTGTTTAGCGATGTCTGGACACCTTAAGTCCATATGCCTTGCCAATCCACATGGTGTATCACAAACAAATAAAGTTGGAGGGTACTTCAGAGATAAATATAGGTCTGCAGCATCTTGGACAGACTCTTGAAGGAAAAGGAACTTGGAAGCAACAGTGCACTGAAAAAAAGCGAACACAAAAGCACATTTTCATACTATATTACTAGAAACGAGACAAAGTTAGGAATTGTGATCGAATATGTCACACATACTGTACAAACTTGGAAAAGTTTTTAAGTTAGGTTTATAAAAAAAAATGCTCTAACCGAAGTAATGCAATTGTGTGAAACTATGATTTAATTGGCGTTGGTATAAATATACGACTATACTGTATTAGTAAAATACATATTATAGTAGTAAAAACAGCGAGTAGTGAAAGAACCATCTCTTCCTCACAAATTTTTTACGAGTTTATCACAAATATTGAACCCTAACCCTAAATAAATAGTAAAAACTTTTTGAAATGTTGTTTTCTTACTGGTATGAGATGATAGTTTACATCATAGAATTCTCGAACTCATATTAACATAGAAATCTCGAGCTCGTGTTATCTAATTGTTAATAATAATTGACCTTTTGAGTGAAATTTTGATCCAGACAAGTCGTTGCAAAATGTTGTAAAATGCGGATAATATAGCCTTGCGAAGTCCGCCGTTTTTCTGTCATTTTGCATTACAAACGGGAAATTGATAATCAGATGATCAAATTGATTATCAATTTCCCGTTTGTAATGCAAAATGACTGAAAAACGGTAAACTTCGCAAGGCTATAATATCCGCTTTACAACATTTCGCAACAAAACTTCGGAATATTACTAATTTTGTGATGCTCTTTCAAGCTGTGATGAAATTTTTGTCCAGACTTGTCTAGATCAAAATTTCACTCAAAACGGGAAAGCCGGAAGGTCTTAATAGATGGCGAGTAGTGTAGCCAATCTGAATGCAGCATTGTCATTAGAACGCAACTAAGTTTTTATTAATTGTCCATAGATAGTGAGTAGCGAAAAACCATTTCTTCGTTGCGATTTTTCACAAATAAATAGTAAAACTGGCTTTTACTAAAACAAGTACATTATTCGCTCTCCATTTCTATGATATGATAGCTATAGTGATAGTCGCCTCTGTACAAACATACTACAATGGGAGTAACGAGTACTTTGTTCACAATATTAAAATATACTTACACCGTGGCGACAAACAAGATGGTAAAAACCTCCTGTGTGACCTTTAACTTTTCCAAACCCATGGCATGCCGAGTTTCCATGCAACAGTTCCCCATATAGGGAATGTAACTCTGCGATTATAAAAGCCTAAACGTAAAAGAACAGAGTCTATGTTTTTTCTATGAATTTTCTCCTTGGCAACCTCTCGCTCCCCCCTCTCATTGGAAATATCTCGAAGGTGCCCCTGAATGAAAGTGTGGGGGGGGGAGGGGCACTGTATGATATGTATTTTAATGACACCTTCCAATTTTGACTTCAGTTAGTTCAGTATGTAAATGTAATTTTGAATTAGCTTCGATACAACATGTGAGACAATGACATTTTCAAAAAATTCATCACTCGTCTTTCCTCTTGGGTTAATTTTTGAAGAATATACCTCGTTCAATTAATTAATGTATCTAAATTATAAATATAATTATACCTTTGAGCTGTTACTTGGAAGTTCTATCGTACACTGGCCTGCCAATGATTTCAAAGAAGCCACGTCCATTTCACCCAGATTGTCCATGTTTAATCCTTCCGAAACAATAGCATAATGCAGCCTAGAAGAGTCACCTATAATAAGATGTTCCCTAAAATTAGTGTCGTACAAAAACCAGTTTACCCCACATCCATTCCTTAACTGTCTTCACTCTGTCCAACAGGGAGAGGTAAATACTGTAGTTATTTATTCAATACACTGAATACAGTATAAAATAAATTCATCATCCAGTCTTACTTGTGATAGCCTTTTGAGTAAGGTAAATACTTTTCTTTTCCATTTCTGTATTGAAAATCTCGGCACCCCTTAAAGCTGGAGCTATAATAGGTGGTACATCTGCAGAGTCTATGGAATCCACACCAGGAGATGAAGTGCTGCAAAAAAGTATCTTCTCAAGCAGGTTTTCCTTTAAGTTGCCAATAAATTGCTCAAGAGGTACTGGTTTGCTTTTTGATGATGGCACACTTTTCACCTGTTTATAATAATTATGAATATTAGTCTAAGACTGTATACCGGTATGACATTAAACAATACCATAGTTATTGTTTTTAATTGTGATATGATCAGAGGGCACCATAACTGAAAGTCAAACCTCCTTTAAAGAACAACAATTCTTTTGATTCCCATCACCAAAATAGCACTGCCCAATGGTGCCACATACTCCGCAAATACCATCATCAAGTCGACGTTCAGTAAGGAGCTCAAAACAGTAAAAGCCATTGTATAATAGCTTTTGTAAATATTTTTGCTCTCCAGATGATAACCTCTTATCCTTAAAGACAGAATAAAATTTAAGTGAAATAGTATCAATTTAAGTGAAATATTAGTATTTATACATTGTAGTCAGTCTTAACTAATCTGATTATAAAATTAGTAAGAGGCCATTCCATAAATGTTCTACCACATTTACCCTGGTACCATCTAGAGGAAATTTCTGATAATAGTTAAATGTACTGGGGCATTTAAAGTTACAGCAGTAGGAAAGCAGTAGTGCCAGCAAGGGGCTGAAGGGGGAAAGGACAATTATGTAGCATGTACATAAGTGACATATACAAGTATTTCCCTTGTCTTGTCCTCCCCCCCCAAGCTAGCAACACTGTAGGAAAGGAGCTATTTATAAAGTGAATGAGCATATATATGAATGTGTTATGCTTGAATGACACAACTCAACAAAATTCACTTCATTTTTACTTTGTCAACTTGTTTGCTCCATGCTTCAAGTTTGCCTTCAATAGCAGATGATGAAGTATTCCCTCCATTCTAGAAGCACATCCAGTGCCAGCAAAACCTTATCGCATATATTGAATAGACCTAAAACAGAACATGTATAAATGTGATTTCCACATGCACAGTAGTGAATTTGAATAGAGTGTGTTTATAAAGTGTTTTCCCATGCACTTCTTAACCCATTAAGCTGCACAGCTTCCCCACTGATGAGTAAAATTGTCTGGCATTAGACAAGTAAAAAAAATAAATGGGGCGTATTGCGGCTCAATGGGTTAACTAAAAACATTGTCAGATTTTTTGGTTAACCCACTAAGCTGCACAGCTTCCCCACTGACGAGTAAAATCATCTGGTATTAGACAAGTGAAAAAAATAAGTAGGGTGCAATGGGCTACTAAGGTGCTTAAATTGGGTCGTTCCGGATAAGATCCACATTCCCCCCACAGAGGAAATTTCTGCTGTCTGGAGGGGGAGGGGAGACAAAATTGTTTCTGATAAGAGTGAATGTATTAGGACATCCGAAGGGGGGTAGGGGGGTTAACGTCCAATTTCCTCTGTGGGGGAGGTATGGATGTTTTCTGGAATGACCCATTAAGTGTTTTCCCATGTTCTTCTTAAACTTTTTTAAAAATTTCCTGATTTGGATGGATATGAATTTCTGAAGAATTATTATTAGCTTAAAAACAAATAGTATGAGACTGGTTTAACACAATAACTGAGGAGTTTGGAATTTTTAAAAATCTACTCCTAACTGCCGTTGCTATGGTAACAATTAAGTCACAACATTGGCGTCTTTATATTTTCACGTTTTTTTAAAAAAATTCTATCACGACAAAAAAATTATAATATAAATTTTCACATTTTCTTACCTTGAAAAATTTTGGCATGACAGAATTTTTTTAAAATTTGAAAAATAATTCAAAATACCAATAGATATCATTTTATGAAATAAAAAATTGTCGTTACCACTCTCTTTTTTTTCGAGTTAAATTACTTTAATTAAATATAAAATATCTGCCATGTTGTGACGTCATTATTGCCATATTCGAACTAATCTCTCTAATCATTGTTTTATGCCAGTCAGATACTCACAAGTAATAATTGTACGAAAAACTTACAGTATAACTTCAAAAGTACAGTCTAAATTTTATGTGCCAAATTCAGCACTGTATCACTATCACATATAAAACAATAATAGAAATTGAATAGATTGCCATTGATGTGACTAACACACTAATTGGTGGACTAAGGGACTGCTCATTATTTATTGTACAGGGGGAGACTGAGGAGAAACTCTACAGTTATATTTTTTCGTGGCCCCCCTCTTAAGACAAGTAAAATTTCCAAAGCCCCCACCCCCTCCAACAGGCAAAACAAGAACATAAATTTTGGTCCCCCTCTAGCTCTTTATCTTTATTTAGAGAACAAAAACTCTAGCACTTTATTTAGAGAAACAAAAATAGATAATGGGGACCAATAGACAATTCCCATTATAGACTAATTTTTTATCTTAGCATAAAAAAGTATATTCCTGGGAAGGGCATACTAAAATTAGTAAAGTTGCAAAGTTTGGTTGCGAAATGTTGTAAAATGTAAAAAATATAGCCTTGCAAAGTTTGCAAATTTTGTATACTTTTGTATTGCAATTTTCACATGCAATACAAAAGTATGCAAAATTTGCAAACTTTGCAAGGCTATATTTTCGGTATTTTACAACAACATTTTGCAACCAAAGTTTGCAATAATTTACTTATTTTAGTATGCTCTTTCTAGCTGTGGTCATTTATTTGCATCAAGACCGGATTTTGAGGAGAGGTGCGCACCTCCCCTGAGATCGTTTTGGACCTCCCCTGAGAATTTTTGCACCTCTCCTGAAAGATCATGCACCTCCCCTTGGGAATTAGTTTCAATGATGGAACAAAGTGAAAATGTGATGGTTGCTTTATAGGATCTACACTTTGTGACGTAAGAAAGTTTTCTCTGTAAAATTGAAACAGTGATAGCCATTCATCTCTGTATCAAGTACCCTTTTAATGCAATGTTTTGAAAGAAACTTTGTAGCAATTGTATAAATGATTAGGGCAAGATTGGAGTCATACATTCATAATTCATTAATACACTGGTACATATGTACACTACATGCATACCTCACCTCGTTGATACTGGCCTGTTCTACAATAAGCCCCCACTATTTTCACCAAAATCCGGCCTTGATTTGCATCTCTTTACCTAGTTCTAAAATTAGTCTATAATGGGAATTGTCTATTTACATGAACATAAGAGACTTTTTATTTGGCTTTATTTGACCATTTATGAATACTAAAGGTCTATAATCATTGTTATATCTCATTTGTGTCGGTTTTCTTTGATCGTCCAAGGTTTATAACTAGCTAATATACCTTGAATAAATAATTACATCAAACTTTTCGACAAAACGTGAGAATTTTTCATCAAAAATTTTTGAAAATGACAAAATATGTTAGAAAACCTCCACAAATGAGATATAAGTTAGTTATAAACCTCGAAAGTCGGTTTAACTGATGTATTGCCCTCGGACGCTACGTGTCCTCGGGGGCAATATATCAGTTATAAACCTCCTTCTCGGTTTATAACTCTAACTTATTTGTTGTTAAGTTGTTTTGTGACACAGATATATTGCCATTGTGCGCGTACCGGAAATTTGTAAGCGTGCTCATAGCCAATCAACGACAGCTTATACATGAAATGACATAATGATACTAATTTCAAAATGGCGGCTTACTAAAGTGTGAAACAAAAGGCAATTTTTGAATTTACGAAATCAAATGCTGTTTAAAACAACATCATTTTACTAGTCTGAATATGGCAAATATCGCTAGTGCATTTTTGGCAAGCATTTGAAAGGTTTCATCATTTAATACGCAGTGGAAACGAAATGATTTGCAATTTCGGACAAGAAAGTTAATGACTAATGGCATTGAGAATACTATTATGAAATTATGAAAGTAATGATTCTTCCACATGTTGCCGTTGTTGGTGTATATCGAGTTGTAAGTGTTGATGTTGATGTTTATGTACTTCTCAATTTAACATTTTCATTGGTGACTTAGTTAATATAAATTAGTTGAATGAAACCAATAGAAGGCTATATAATTTCGTAAGGTTACATAATTTCTTCATCAATGATTATAACTATAGACAATTGGTGTCTGCTTTCATTACAGACTTTGATAGATCATTTTTATACAAATTTAGCAGAGTCAGAAGCTAAGTCACACATATTGGAAACATTTCTCTTAAAGCACTTTTTAGCAGTATGTGCATTGAATAATTGCTTTCATTAAAGCAAGGCAAAGTAATAGTGGCTGCATAAAGAGCAGAGATTCAGTTTTAGATTGGAATATCAATACTTATAGTAACAGTTGCAACCAGTCATAATTATTAACTATATATCCTGGACGGGGTGCTCCCTTCTTCATCGACCCTGATTTCTGCAACTGAATGTCATTGCCAAGAACACCAGTTAAGTAATTTATATCCCCCTTCACCTATCCCATACTATATTGTCTTATAATCAACAACAACCATATGTCATAATGGGATCTTATTTAATATAGCACACAATGTACAAAACTAACATAATATTCTGTTTAGTGGATTTTCTTCCACGACAAAATATTATTCCATGGATCTGTTATGCTGAATTATATCATTCTATTCAAGAACTATATGCATCAATTATAATTCTAATTTCCATACTTGTCATCATTTGTTGCTGATGAATGACTTTCAATATATGACCTATTTGATATATTTCCTAGGCATAAACAGTTGATTTGTGTGCCATCAACCCTGACTATGACATTTTCTAAAAGGAAATAGATTATATTTAAAAACAATTATAAACAGCAGAAATGTTGATGTTATGTATCAATTATGGTATAAGAAGGCTTCCAAAACTCTGCAAAATGTAAAGTTAAAACTAAGACATAAACTTCTCCAGCAATTCCTGGATAGTTATTAAGTACTTGTTTTTCAGTAGTTGATCAATAAGCGTTGTCGATGCTACTGTTGGTGTGTTGTTGTTGATGTTGTTGATGTTGTTGTTGATGTTGATGTCTCTGTCGCAGTTTTTGTGAAATTTTCCTTGTTTGCTAGTAATCTGTTTCAATAAAATTAATTAGGACTAATGTAGTAATAATACAGTAAGTTTATGTGTTTGTAATTTTTGTCACTGAAAAGCCCCTTCAGGGGAGTGTCAATAATGTCAATGAATCAATTAATCAACAATGAATAACAATGTATATTGGCACCACCTGTTATCCTGACAACTTCTATGCATCTACCATGTTCTCGCATGCCTGCTAAAGTTTAATATGAACTATCAAGAAGATTTGGAACCCAAAATGTTTTAACAAGAACACAGAGATGGATTTACTGGGGGGGGGGGTGCAGGAAGGGGGTCGTATTTTTCATGATAAACAAAAAATTATTAGAAACAAAATGAGATACAGAAATTTGAGTAATAATATGATGATAGGGAAACTGTGAACAACAATTACAATTCAAATACTGTAGTCAAGCAAGACTTTGCAATAGTGAAGCAAGTTGATGGGTGGGTGACACACATGACCGACACAACTCGGCACCAGAGCGGGCAGAGTACCCCCCCCCCTCTCAGATCATGCTGGATCCATCCCTGCAAGAACATTATAAAATTAAGATGATTCAACAAGAACATCATAAAATTGAATATCATCTTTGTGACGTTATGGCCGGAATTAGTTTCTGCAAGTTGAATATATATCAGCCATTTTCTTTTTCTTTCATCTGACATACTATAAATCTAACTTTATTTAACTGGTCAACTGTTAAACATCAGCCCTTAAATTTTTTTACAAGCTACTGAGTGTTGATTGAAGCCTTGGCAAAAGTGCAATCACCATGAGCAGATACATGTACGCTTAGCGTACCTATTTTTAAAACTTACTACTAATGCTTTTCAAACTGGTAAATATTTTCAAAGCCCCCCTTCTTTCATCTCTCTGTATTTTTTCAATGCCCCCCTTTCAGGTTTTAAAAAATTTGAAGGCCCCCCAGTTTCTCCTCAATCCCCCCCTGTACAATAAATAATGAGTGGTCCCTAACCTCGTATATTTATTTGTCACTATACAGGGTGTATAAAAAATAATCGTTTTCATATGCTAGGATAAGAATCATGATTTTATTGGCATGAAAAACATGTTATTCAATAGCTAAAAGCCTGATCTTTCTAAATATGAAAAATATATGTTTTGACATGTGTACACTGTATATTTAAGTGATTGTTCATGCACTTACCCATATCAATAGGCCATACTTGGTGCATGGCTTTACATTCTTTATTGGTGCACACTTTAACTTTTATTTCAATTTCCCGAAATGGATTACCATTGGTCAATAGATAGCTCTTCCCATTACTTCCTGGATGTGAACGTGGTCTGCCCAGCTCAGATTTACACATTCTACACAATGTATCCTCTGGCTCTAATACCAAAGGCCATGAACCCTGTTAACAAAGATAGCATTTATTTAGGCAAAATAATAATGATCTAAATAGCATTTAATAATCTACAGGCGAAAGAATTGAAAATTAGGGGGGGGGGCTGTTGAGTGTTGCACCTCTGCTCCTCCTAGTGTCCCTGCTAACCAACGGCACAGATTAGAGTGCACTCAGCCTTATTATTTGACTCTGTCAATTTACTTGTATTGGTTAGTTTACCTCTTTTGTGTTCAGCAAAGTTGCAGCATCAATTTGTCTGGTTCTCTTCAAAATTTCTGGAGAAATAACAGCTGGAATGCACTTATCCAAGTTGGCTTTAATGGTGGATATATGTCCAATACTTTGTTCACTGGTCTGGGTGGCATGCTGTAGTTTATCCACTGAAGTGGATACTGTCAGATTTGTTCCTTTGTGTGCCGTCATGGTCAGTCTAAGTGTGCGGAAAAGCACATGCTGATGGATGCAAATTCTGCTGATTTTTTGTTGCTTTCCAGCACCAGAAATCACTTTGCAGTTCTTCGATCCACATTTGTATGCATTTGAACTGACAGACAGATGGGCATATCCAATTGGTGATGCAGAGCTTGGAGGGCCATAAACAATGTAACATCCATCCCCAGCAAGAACAACCGCTGGCATTTCATTTAAATCTGGCAGCAAAGACAGCAACTTTTCCCTGGTAGCATCATCACATGGGTATTCAGACACCATTTCGCTGGTCATCTCTTTCCTCTCACCAAGTTCCTCGCTTTTTTGGACCATCTCAATGTGCTGGCAAGAAAACTGAGCAACTGACGTTTCAGTACTAGCCACAGTAACAGCTCGCCTGGTTTTGCATTTTTCTTGCTCGCAAAACCTGGTTTCTTCATCATATACCACAAAGCATCTATCCCCCCTCCGGTACTTGTTTTAACTGAAAACAGATTTTTGCCCACACTAACACAGTCCGGCCTTATCAGTTTTGGTTTCTTTGGCTTATGCACATAATTGTCGCCAATTTCAAAATTACACGAAGGACAATTTTTAGGCTTCCAAAAATTTGCATAAGTGAATGGACAACCAGGGCATCTTGCATCTTTTTGTTGCATTTCCAAGCTCAAACTGTAAGAATTAAGAAAGAAACTATTTACCTGATATTATATAACCTACTTTATATAGAGCAACTATTTGGTTCACTTTTAGGTCCCCAATAGGATGAATGCCAAGGGACATAGTGTGCAGATAAAAGAAAACCCTGATCAACATGATCAGGAAATTCCTATATGAAAAATGAGCCAAGTGTATAGGTAAAAGGCACATTGGCACAAAAAATAATGATGTCTGAGACCGACTTTGATCAGTGAATACCACCCTCTCAATACATATAAAAACTACATAATATATTTACCTTCAACATAACAGATTTTATATTATTAACACTACATGTTCACAACCGCAGTCCGCAGTTTATAAAACTTCACTCGGTCATGAATCAGTGTGAGCGCGGAAGTTACATATCATGTGGAGAAAACGCAGCAAAATGATATAAATTTTACACTTTCAATTTGAGTCATTATTTATTGCGAGGGTTTTATACAACAAAATGATATAAATTTTACACTTTCAACTTGAGTCATTAATATTCAGTGACAACAGTGCAAGCGTTTATCAGTAAATATATACGGAGAAAACGCAACAAAATGATAATTTTACAACTTACCTCCATTTTATTTCTTTCCAATCGATTTAATCACATTGTGGTCATAGGTTTACGATAAAAAACTGAAGAAATACCTGTAGTAATATTTATAAAAATGCCCGCAATGTCGTGCGCTCCTTTCCTTTGGTCTTAATATACCGTATAGAATTTCCGCGGCCGCGCGTGCTTGGGGAACAGGACGAGTTGAAATACGTAATATGATTGGCTACTATGATTGGCTACTACCTCGGATACCTTAGTAAACCTGTTAACCAATCACCGTTCCTGTTCATATAGCTTGGTCTTTACTGAAAATTCACAGAGATATCAATGTTCAAAATCGGGAGCATATTTTGGGATGTGTCTAAAATTAGCAAAAATCGGCATATCAAATATTAACTCCAGCGTTTGTTCACTTAATGACATATCATGCCACATTGTATTTCAGCGAATTGTTGTTAGGGTTTGTAAGGGATATGGCGTAGATTTAGACATCTTACATGTAAGTCTTAGCTCATTGTTTCCTGAAATATTATGCAAGTATTTAATAGGTTTTTACAAACTTAAAGGTACATGAAAGACCATGCAAGGGCAGGCGCTTAAATTTTTCTTAAATAGCCTTACTAATTTTTTTATGTTTTTCATGGGTTCAAAACAGAGTTGATTATTTCTCGGTTAGAGCAGGATGAATATTATTCTTTAATGAAGGAAATAATATTGCTTTTTGCAAATACACATCACAGTATCAACGCTATTATTTTGTTACGTTTTGTTCTAAAAATGTTGGAGGTCTCTGGGGGGTTGCTTGTTATGTCTTATGGAGTTGTATGGTTTGATTGTGTTTCGATCATTCTCAGTTTATTCTGAACTTGCCAATATTAAGAAAAGGCAAAAGAGTTTGGGTGTTCTTAACAAGATTTCAAAACGTTGCAGAAGTTAGAAGAGCTTCACAATAGGCCCTTTCAAGGTTTATTCCGCCATATTGCCGGGGGTGCAAAACATTGGGGCGAGCGCGCGGCCATACCATGGCTGCCATATATTTTACTAATGAGTGAGCGATAATTTTGTGTGGACATTTTGTTGATTTTCTCATGCTATATTAAAAGATAGTCCAAACTTTTTGTATTTTGGCTGATCTGTGTGTATTTTCAAACTACTGGTAAAGATTTCAATGGAATCAGATTGGGGGAAATCCGTGAATATGCTGATTTCTTCGACACCTTTCGGCAAGCTGTTTACAGTGGATTCACGACAACAAAATGCCGAAAACAGGGCTTTTACGTCTCTGTTTGTTTAAACAAAACCACATTACAAAAGAATTGTGTTTAAAAACAATACAACAAAGCCGTCAGGAAAGAAGAAAGACGTCCAGGTGCGAGAATGTAACCTGATACCAATGTCAATGTCACCTTTAATTATATGACATTCTATTAGTAATTGGATATAAAGATAAACTTCTAAAAGTAGGCAAATCCAAAGGGTATATAATATTGAGAGATATTGAGAGTTTCAGTTGTTCTCATAGCGGTACCACCCCCATAGCCAACTGAGAGCAAAACACAAGCAGACGGAACAGTATCTACAATGCTGTTCAATAATCTTAAAAACCTGCCTGAAGTATTTGATAAATTTTTGTGACTATCAATCAAATTCATCACACTAGCACAAGAAACTCGTCAAAACTTCACAAGTGGTATAAAAGAACAAATTATGTAAAACATATTCTCTCTAATAATGGAGTTGTCAATGTATGGAACTCACTAGAATAAAAAATAAAAACATAAACTCTCAATACATCTCAAAAACAAATTAAACAGCATTTTTTTATGAAAACATTCTATTTGCATATTATTCTATTTGCATATTATTGTTCCTCTATTGCTCTGAAATTTCTCTCTCTGATTTGACTGTAAAATAAAATAATATATTATAAATCTAACAGTTAACTATAAAGCTTTACTAGCGACCTAAAGCAAAAAGCCTGACAAAGTATCTAGTAGCTAGGTCTTTAGCCCAAATTAATATAAGGAAAAATATGTAAATATTTTCTATGGAACTGTACATAAAGAAACTCTTTCATTGGTAATATTTCTGTCCTCAGGTTTTCTGGGGTCAAATTCTTTCCTCAATGTTTAATCACAGCCAGGATTTTGGTCTAAATATTAAATTTTTAACCTTGCTTGGATTTACTTCTTTTCATGTTCCTTTGTTCCATCCTTGGGGAACACTGGTACAGGCACACAGGCTGGGGAAATATAATTACTTGTTGTAAGCATAGTTGAACTTATACATAGGGGACTACAGGTACATGATTACATGCCTCAACTGTTCCAGCTGTTCAAGGACACACATTCACACTTTTATATGTGAGTCATCACAAATCCTTTGTGATCGACATACCGGTACTAAGCTTTACAAAAAAATGTCATGGTCTTGTCAATGGGCATTTGGCAACATGAATTATATCAACAAATCCACTCATCCAATACGAGTAAGCCCTTTAATCTTTGTATTTGCCAATATATTCAACATCCACTGCATTTACTTGTAGAATGTAGGGGCCTAGCATTCCATCGTCAAGATGTGGTCATGTTTGAATGTCATCTTTCCAATATTCATCGCACTGTTAGGGATCGCTCTTAATAATATCATTAGTTTGTAGTCTTTGTTGGTATTCCTTCTTAATTAATACTATCAAAAATTTGTTTCTGTGTAAATTTCTTTGGAGCACCCAATACATACGTTTTAAATGCTCTTGCCACAAGTTTAACCTTTATCCCACTCTGTCAACCCAACAAAATCCTCGTATTCAAGCTTCTCCTTTGTAGCCATAAACAGCCAAAGTAAAATCACTATTTGCAATATAATCTGCTATGAGAACATAAAATATAAACAAGTTTATCTCTTATATCTATGTCAGTATAAAGGTGAGATTGACATTGGTATCAGGTTACATTCTCGCACCTGGACGTCTTTCTTCTTTAAACATGATTCTTCTGTAATGTTGTTTTGTTTCGAAACAGAGACGTAAAAGCCCTGTTTTTGGCGTTTCGTTGTCGTGAATCCACTGTAAACAGCTCGCCGAAAGGTGTTGAAGAAATCAGCATATTCACGAATTTCCCCCAATCAGATTCCATTGAAATCTTTACCAGTAGTTTGAAAATACACACAGATCAGCCAAAATACAAAAGTTTGGACTATCTTTTAATATAGCATGAGAAAATCAACAAAATGTCCACACAAAATTATCGCTCACTCATTAGTAAAATATATGGCAGCCATAGCTTGGCCGCGCGCTCGCCCCAATGTTTTGCACCCCGGCAATATGGCGGAACAAACCTTGAAAGGGCCTATTCCATTGTGACAGCATGCCCTAATCCAGAACTACGAACGATCCATTACGATCCTTCGCGATGCAGTGGTCTCATGAAATAAGGAAACGTATTCGTGCTAGGAACACACACAGATTTTGGACAAATAAATCTTCCTTGTATTTTGTAGATAATAATTATTTGTTTCATAATAAACAATTTGTCAAGTGTCATTTATTTACTGGTAATAGTGCATGTTTTATAGTCTGGCAAATCTTGATTAATATTTGATACGCCGTTTTTTGCATATTTCAGACACATCCAGAAATATGCTCCCGATTTTAAACATTAATATCTCTGTGAATTTTTAAGTGAAATGCAACTGTAATACATCAAAATCTAAGTTAGTCCTTCCTCTATTTGATTCAAGTTATTTCTTTTTAAAAGCTTTACTTGTTTAGACGTTATTACGAATCAAACCGGAGTACTTTTTTTTGGGACACCCGGTAGATGTGTTCGGTCTAGAAAACTGTTGTGTAGAGGGAGCCTGGTGAAGCTGTGCTTTCCATTCCCTATGAGTGTAGCTCACAATATTTTAATTTTGGAATAGGTAATAGACCTCTACATGCGTCTTGGACCTGTTTGCTTGTAATCATTGTTTATCTAATGGATTTCTTTTATTTTAAACAGGGTCTTGAAAGTAGACCATGCCGCAAAATATTGTATAAAAGGTGCATGCGTATTATGCGTGCGTTGTTTTGTGTCTTTTTATGTAAATCCATTGTAGAAATGTCGTACTTGAAGTTAGCATGTACTGTATGTAAAGTTATTACTTGGTAATTGATAGGTGTAATTTGATGATGCACATGAATTTATCACAGAGTCGGATTTGACCATACTGCAATATTACAAATTAAGAATTGGTGACACGACTTGTGATTTTGTGTTGTGTAATTTTCCTGTGTCTCATTTGAATAAATGGTTTTCTTAAATTTATCTTATCAGGGTCTGAAAAGTAGACCATGCATTGAGAAATTGTAAACTTAATCCTTGTAAACTATATCCTGAGCAACACTCACTACTCTGGTTTCAACGTGCTGATCACGTTTATTATGGCGCGCTTCTGATTGCTTATCTTCTGTCTCGACCGGCTCAGTGTCGTTCACAACTTCATCGTCAGAAAGGTCGACTTCGTTATCTGTTCCGTCATCTTCGCCTTCGGTACTCCCACTCTCGAACGCTGTTTCAAGCAGCAACTGTTCACCAAGCAGAAGTCTTACAAACATGTGTACACTATCCGGTATGCAGGCAATAGCATCCTCCTTCGTAACATTATGCCTTTGTGTGAAGGGTGTGCCAGTATATCTGAGCGCAGTTTAAGTGCAACATGGACCATTGACAAGAAATCATCTTGCTCTTGAGGCATATATACAGGTATGGAATGCTCATCATCGTCAGTGTCGCTATCTTTATTCAGCAATTGCGATACTGGGATATGTAACAAATTATTTGGCACAAGCACCATTTGGCGCTCATTGATATCCACATTTTGAAGCTTAATGAAATCGTACAAGTCAACTAAATGTGGTTGGAGGTATTCTTTAAAGGTGGACATACGACTTAGAAAAGAGTGAGGGACTTCAATATTTTGCTCAGTGGCAAGAGCGCAGTGGTGAGAATAATAATAATAATAATAATGATGGTTTATTATTATGTAAAATGGCACCAATTGGTGAATTACTTTACATTTACATCTAGAAAATCCAAAATCTATATATATATATATATAAATATCTACAACTTACTATACTACTATAAAATGTCTAAAAATATTTTGGGCTTATCTATTTGAGTTGCAGTAACTAACGTTAGTTGGGAAAAAACTGTTTTTGAACCGATTTGTGTTACATTTAAAAATGTCGAGATTTTCACTGTTTCGAAGTTTCCGGCCATGTTTCTGAAATCTGGTTTCTGGTATGAGATACGACAAACGATCACCACTAGTCGACTTAATTTGTTTAAAAAGTTTTTGAGATAATTGTTGTCTATTTTCCGCTAATGACAGACAACCAGACATTGAAAGTGCATCATTATACGATTGAAACGGATATATAATTCGGAAAGCTCTTCGTTGAATTTTCTCAATTTTATCAGACAAGTACGTCGGAAGACTCGAGTGCCAGACTGGGCAACCATATTGTAGGATTGATCTGACTAATGTTTTGAAGATTGTTATTAGATCATCAACAGGAAGTCCATTACGCTTTAAGACACGTATGATATATAACCGTTTAGCAGCTTTCTTTGTAATATTGTCAACATGACTTTTCCATTTCAAGTCATTCTGAAGAGAAATTCCAAGAACTTTAGCGCTATCGACAGTGTCAATTGGAGCACCATTGATGTAGAGTTGGGAAAGGTTGGGTTTATCGCGAAGAAAACTTATTCTAAGTTCTTTACATTTTTTCGTGTTCAGTTTCATATAGTTGTTAGTGGCCCAAGATGATATATGGTCCAGTTCTGACTGCATATTTGAAACACCATTTCTTGGTATTACCTCCGAAATCAACATGTCGTCTACATATTTCCAATAATTGCTATTAAGTGGAATAAGGTCATTTACCATAATAAGGAACAAAATAGGACCTAATTTAGTGCCTTGTGGAACTCCTGCATTTACTGACATCCAGTCCGATACCGTATCTCCGAGTTTTACTCGCTGTTTTCGATCTGATAGGAAATTACATATCCAAGGGATCAAACACCTACGTACTCCTAAATTTAAGAGTTTTTCAATCAGGATATTGATGTTAATACGATCAAAGGCCTTGCTAAAATCGAGAAGACAGACTCGTAACGAATTTCCTTGTTTATCAGCATTTGATAGCCAGTTGTGTAGCATATCCAGAAGGCATTTTGTTGTAGATCCACCCTTGAGGCTACCAAACTGTTTGGCATCAATCTTATCACATATATCTTCAGTAATCCAGTCAACAACAAATTCTTCAAGAACTTTTGAGAGGGTTGAAGTTAAGGAAATAGGACGAAAATCACAAAGGATTTTAGGTGGAGACTCTTTGGGAATAGAGGATATATTTGCCTGTTTCCAAATTTCTGGTACAACACCTGACGACAATGAAACGTTGAAGATGTCAGTGATGGGTTCTGCTAAGATATATGCAAAAGACTTTAGAATTTTTGACGGGATGTTGTCTGGTCCAGGGGCTATCATTGTATTCAGCTTCAAAAGTTTATTGCGTACTTGATATGGTTGAATAGTTGGTATCTGATCTATTGATGGTAAAAACGCAGGTAAGTTGTGTAGATTAAGTGGTGGAATGTCAGCATTTACCGAGGTGAAGAATTCATTCAGTTCATTAACTAAATCTTGATCATTTAAGATAGAGCCATTTTTCTCAATGTGAAAGGATGTCGATGTGTTTGCATTGCCAGACAATCTTTTCACAAGTTTCCACCACAACCTACTATCTGTCTGTTTAAGGTGACGCACTTTTTCGGAGTAAAATGATTGTTTCTGGGATATGATCGCTTGTTTTACCTTATTGCGATAATGTTTCCACAAGGGCATATTACCGTTGTGGAAAGCGTTTTGGCGATCCAAGATAAGTTGTTTAAGAGATGAACACATCCATGGCTTATCAGAGTTATGGAGCTTCACTGATTTTAATGGAAAAAAGATATCCATAGCTTCCAAGATCTTGTTAGTGAATGTGAGGGTTTGTTCATGAACGTCTGTTGATGTGCAATCACGTAACAACTCCTGGTTAGTTAACCACCTACCAAATGTGATAATACTTGACTGGGGAAAGCGGCGTACACAGCATTTTTTCTTCTTTTGGTTAGGGTTATTGGTTGCGGCTTTTGGGTACCATAAAACTGTGTTGTGATCTGAGCTTCCTATTGGGGCTGTTACGGTCGGATCATTATACCATGTCTGCATGTTAGTGATCACAAGGTCAAGTGTTGCGTTAAGTCTTGTAGGATCTTTTACTACTTGGGTTAAACTGTGTTGACTCAGTAAATCACTTACATCCAGGTTATTATAGTCGCCCAGCACAATTATTCCACAATCTGGTGATGAATCACGGACACTATCAATAGTTTCACTTAAATAATGAACAAATTCTCGCTGTTTATCGGCACATGTTTCAGGAGGACAATATAGAACAGCAATGAGTATACCACAGAGGGGCCTTGGCAGACGATAAGGTCGCAACCATAGCCACATACATTCATAATTTGCGTTTTCTAGATCAAGTAACCGTTTGCATGGTATGTTTTCAGAAACGAAGGCACAAACACCGCCTCCACGACCGCTCAATCTATCCAGACGATATGAATCATACCCGGCGATAGTGACAAATAACGAGTCTATTCGTTCATTCAACCAAGATTCGGAAATGGCAACAATGACCGCTTTGTTTAACATTAAAAACGTAGACAATTCGTCAAACTTGGGTACTAATGATCTTATATTACTAAGTAGGACATGAGGTAATTGAGAAGAAGTCTTATTATTGTTGTTTTCCGGATGACATTTGATTGATACGTAATATTTCAAATCCGAGTTAGTGTTTTAGACGTGGTTTCTAAATACAAGTGCCATGAACAATGGCGAGGCGCAGCCGAGCCATTGTTCATGGCACTGGGGATTTGGAAGCCAAGTTTAAAACACTAACGAGGATTTGAAATTGCTTCTCATACATCATTAGACTTTCATAGTAATGAGGCATGAAATTATTAGATATTCAAAAAAGTGAGCGTGGGCATTAACGATTACATTCGCTTGAAAGTTCGCATGAAGTGCAACGAAGCATTCAGTTCACTTTCGTCGTGATTCGTGAATAGATTAATTTTGTTGGCAAACTGAGAGCATGGTATCTTCTTATAATATAAGAAAAAGCGGTTTCGAGAACCAGAAAGTGTTGAGCACAGCATTGTGCACAGTATTGTCGCTCGGCTGACAAGGTTGGGGATCCGAAAAACGATATATCAGATTGTGTGTGCGATAAGGCGCTATCTGGTGGAAAATGAAAGAGCCGAAGTGAATATATATTTTATAGACGGTAAACATTACTGGTAAGTTGCTGTATTATAGTGTTTAAAGCGCTGTTTATTTTGATAGTTAGTAAAAAAGTTGGTTTTCCTATATTTATGTAGTTTTCAAACGTTTAGGAAAAGTGTAAGCTATAAAGTGTAGTTAGAATAAATTTCTAAATACAACTTACTGTATTTAGAAATAATTCTAAACATAGCAATTAAATATATTTGCATAATCTTTTGTTTACGCCTCAATTTCCCTATTGTTCAAAGCCCTTCCCACTTGAAGTAATTAAAGTCCTGGTCTAGACGGGGTATCCAGATAGATACACGTGATGTAAATTAAACCATGTCATTGGCCGAAATGTTATGAATATCTAATGATGTATGAGAACAAATTATTCCAATTCACCGTTCCGGTTGTATGACCCCATGCAGAGCGGCTTTCTCTGCCTCGAGGGGAAATAATGACAGAGATTTTACGTTTCCCACCACGCGAACCTCTATAACGTAGCAAACCCAGATCTTTAAGTGTTGATAATAAATGATGGTTGGCTCGTGTAATACACTGACGGCGGATATCAAGTAACTTGCTTCGATTGTAGGTTATTTTGTCAACAACTGCAGTTTGCATAAATGTTCCGCTATTTTGACTTTGACCTTGAGATATATTCGACTCCAAACCCGAGTGTACAGGGCCAGGATTTCGACAAATATCCACGTAAATTGTTATATCTACGGGAGGATCATGTCCTGGGATCAAAAGGTTGATTATTCCATGCTTTGACCACTTTGTAATAGCAGTTCTGCAACCGATAAAACCACTGCGTGCCAGGTTCCATTTCATTGACTTCGAACGAGGCGTGTAGAAATATACCAGAAAAACCGTTGAAAACGAGCTTATATTGTTAGATGTAGTCACCAGATCTTTACTAGAAGACTTTTCATTTATATTGTTATAAATATCTTGAAGATTCAATGTAAAAAAGACAGTAAAATTGCATGCAATAAGACAGAGCCAAAACACCGATAGTAAGACAGAGCCAAAATAACAATAAAATAGACTATTTTAAACATATAAGACAGAGCCAAAATAACAATAAAATAGACTATTTTAAACATATTTTGCACGTGCAGAATATTACATAAATTAAAATAGATATAAAATATAGTATTTTAAAGCTATTTATTTTTCAGAATACGCAAAACAGAATAAAATAGACTGTTTTAAACCTATTGCACACTTTTAAAACTGCCACAT